TAATCGAATAATCTAATAAACGAGTAATCGAATAATCGAGTAATCGATGAATCGAAGAATCGAGTAATCGAGTAATCGAATAATCGAATAAACGAATAAACGAGTAATCTAATAATCTAATAAACGAGTAATCGAATAATCGAGTAAACGAGTAATCGAATAATCGAATAATCTAATAAACGAGTAATCGAATAATCGAGTAATCGATGAATCGAAGAATCGAGTAATCGAATAATCTAATAAACGAGTAATCGAATAATCGAGTAATCGATGAATCGAAGAATCGAGTAATCGAGTAATCGAGTAATCGAATAATCGAGTAATCGAATAAACGAATAAACGAGTAATCTAATAATCTAATAAACGAGTAATCGAATAATCGAGTAAACGAGTAATCGAATAATCGAATAATCTAATAAACGAGTAATCGAATAATCGAGTAATCGAGTAATCCAATAATCGAATAATTGCATAATAAATAATAATAAATAAATAACAATAATAAATAATAATATTTGTATCAAATCATGTCGTTTTTGTTATCATATTCTACTATAAAACAATTACGGAATAAGAAACCAAACACTGACCTCCCTGGGGAAGACGTACATCCGCAACAGCTGATCAGTTTGCAGGTCGAAGATCAAGAGTTTCGGCGTGCAAGCCGGTGTGAAGTCGTCGATTGACGTCATGATACCGCTGTCGAGGATCCAGAGCCTGTTGCACTTGTCGATTACGGACCTGTACACGGAGATCAGCTGCGAGCAGTTCAGGTACCCTTTACCAGCGGCGTGCCAGTCCCAGGAAGGATAGGCATGGAGCTGCGGGCTGCTTCCGGTGATGTTTCTCGGGATGTAGTTCAAGGTCGACGGTACACCGGCGCGCAGCCTTGGAATGCTCACGAAGATCCTGTCCGAGCCGACCGCGATCCCGGTGGGCACCACGTTCTGCGGACGTATTTGGCTGAGGAGTTCTGCGTCGTACGGGAGCGCGAAGTCTAGAAACGACCATTCGTAGATCGTTTGCAACGTTAAGGCGCCCGTCCCGACAGAGCAGAATCCTGCCAGCAGGATAATGACGATAATCCTGTGGGAACGTGAAGAAGTCGTCGTGAGATCTTACGGTTTTTAATTGCAGACGTGCTCATTGAAAAAATATATAATATATAATATGTATAATAAATAATAATATAATTGTAGTATTAATAATAATATATTTGTTATATTATAATTATTTGATATAGTTTTTGTTGATTTTTTATTATATTAAAAGTTATCAAATATAGGTTTGTTTGAATATGTATTTAAAAATAGATTAAAAAATTAGATTGAAATATAGATTAAAATAAAATAAAAATGAAAAATAGATATAAAAATATATATAAAATAAATATAATATATAATATAATATATTTTTATTTTTATATATATTTATATATTATTATANAGTATTAATAATAATATATTTGTTATATTATAATTATTTGATATAGTTTTTGTTGATTTTTTATTATATTAAAAGTTATCAAATATAGGTTTGTTTGAATATGTATTTAAAAATAGATTAAAAAATTAGATTGAAATATAGATTAAAATAAAATAAAAATGAAAAATAGATATAAAAATATATATAAAATAAATATAATATATAATATAATATATTTTTATTTTTATATATATTTATATATTATTATATTATATTATATTATTATATATATATATATATAAAATAAAAATGAAATATATTATTATTAATACTACAATTATATTATTATTTATTATACATATTATATATTATATATTTTTTCAATGAGCACGTCTGCAATTAAAAACCGTAAGATCTCACGACGACTTCTTCACGTTCCCACAGGATTATCGTCATTATCCTGCTGGCAGGATTCTGCTCTGTCGGGACGGGCGCCTTAACGTTGCAAACGATCTACGAATGGTCGTTTCTAGACTTCGCGCTCCCGTACGACGCAGAACTCCTCAGCCAAATACGTCCGCAGAACGTGGTGCCCACCGGGATCGCGGTCGGCTCGGACAGGATCTTCGTGAGCATTCCAAGGCTGCGCGCCGGTGTACCGTCGACCTTGAACTACATCCCGAGAAACATCACCGGAAGCAGCCCGCAGCTCCATGCCTATCCTTCCTGGGACTGGCACGCCGCTGGTAAAGGGTACCTGAACTGCTCGCAGCTGATCTCCGTGTACAGGTCCGTAATCGACAAGTGCAACAGGCTCTGGATCCTCGACAGCGGTATCATGACGTCAATCGACGACTTCACACCGGCTTGCACGCCGAAACTCTTGATCTTCGACCTGCAAACTGATCAGCTGTTGCGGATGTACGTCTTCCCCAGGGAGGTCAGTGTTTGGTTTCTTATTCCGTAATTGTTTTATAGTAGAATATGATAACAAAAACGACATGATTTGATACAAATATTATTATTTATTATTGTTATTTATTTATTATTATTTATTATGCAATTATTCGATTATTGGATTACTCGATTACTCGATTATTCGATTACTCGTTTATTAGATTATT